AAAAAAAAAAAAAAAAAAAAAAAAAAGGAAAAGGGGAAAGCAAAGAGCCCAGAGAAGGCAGGCTGTGCTTCGAGGCCAGAGGCAGGAGAGCCATCTGCGTCCAAAATGACAGGGGACTCCACCCAAAGCAAGCTGCAGGAAACCCCATGGGGCCGAAATCCCCACTCTCTGAACACACATCCGCTTGGTGAGTGGACGGGGTGTAGGGGAGGTGGAGCCCCATGGAACATCACACCAAACAATCGTGAGTACTGCCGTTTGTCGGGAGGCCCTCCCAGGAAGACCTCCACTGAACCCCCTCTCTTGATAGTTTAACATCAAAGTTGTGGCAGGCGAGTTGAGGGGCAGGGCTATGCACTCGACAGGCCATACAACACGTGAGGCCCCAGGCATCACATGAGCCATCCTAGTCACCAGTACAGGCTGAGCACTCATTTATAAATGTTTCTCTCGGTTGATACTGTTATTAATAGAGTATGATAATATGGCCAGTCCAGCTTCTTTATTCCCCAAGAAAAGTTATCTACTCAAACTCCCATTGTGCTATCGTCTCACACTGATGTAGTGTAAGTGAAATAAGCTCAAGCAATTTATTAAGGGCTGATTTCAGAATCATAGTTTTGGACAAGTTTTAAAAGTCTCTTAAAAACCATCCTCTAATTTTCATTCACAAATTTGGTTTTTGCACCCTTATTCAGGATGAGTCGCTTCTTTGCTTTGCCTGATGACGTGTGCCTTGTTCCTGATGAAAATGTCTTTGACATTCCAACAGAGGAGAGTTTCTAGGTGACAAATGCAAAAGAAGGCAATAAGCTGTGGCAAGATGCCCAACTTCTTCATGACGCACTTTATGATTGCTGTAAGAGGCTGTGCTCTTCCTCTTGGAAAGACAAAGGACACAAGCTGCTCATTAGAGAGCCTCTTTTATTAGCTTTCTTTGCAGGACATTCTGAGGGAATGTTGATGATGCCATTGTCATTGAGAGTTCATTGAAGGAGAAGTGCTTATATCAAGCACCCAGCATCAACTTAAACAGGGAAGTCATGTATCAAGATCAGACCTAATTACTGCCTGCAATCTCAGAATGAGGAGGTACATGAGTCACAGACAGAGGGAAAACTCTTTTTGCCATATACCATCTCTAGTGGTAAAGGGTCTAACAAGAACTTATTAATTCCCATTTCGTAGAACACTTTTCTGATGTCACTTGCATACCTAAGCAGGAACCAGGAGAGAGATGCACAGATGGCATGTTTCAGACACCTACAGCAAATATTTTTCAAGTCAATATATGGCCCCTTGGCATATGTGCTTACATACACATATGTATTTTGCACTATGCCTGTGGCTGTCATCCTTGTGTCATATCCTTGTGTCTTTGCTCATTTTCAGATAGTTCTGGAAATTACAGAATTTACAGTATCAAAGAAAAACCTTAACATGAAACACTAATAAAAAAAGGGAAAACAGAGAAGCACTTAATTCACTATATGTGCAATTACCAAACAACTAAAAATGGTAAATTGAAATTGGGAAACACCTAATCTAGTAGTAATTGGTCAACTATCACTTGCTTTTTGCACTGTATTTAAAGACAGGAAAACTAAGTTTTAGAGCAGGGGTGGCCAAATGCAGCCTGCAGGCCGCATCTGGCCTGCAGGGACCCTAGAAAATTTAGAGAAGTAATATTTATCTGTCTCTGGCTGCCTGTCAAAGATGACAGGAGCCAGGGGCAACAGCACCCAGGGGAAGCCACTGGCAGGATCAAGCGGCAGCAGAAGCAAGGCCCTGCCCCCCCGCTTCCCCGCCCCTACAGCCAGAAGCCCCATTTGAAGGAGAGGGTTCTGGCCTGGGCCCCTGGGGCTGTTCCTGTCTTCCTGTGCCAGAGGGAAAATCAGATAAGAAGCAGGAGGAGGGGAGGCAGGGGAGGACCACGGATGATCACGCCAGTCCTCAGGGTTGGGCTGGCTGCTGCAGTTCTGATGCTGTAGTCAGGAACCACATAGTGCTGGAGCAGCAGTAGCCATGGGCAGGAAAGCAGAAGCAGGTGTGGGGGAAGGGGCAGCGAGAGGGAGCGTGGAGTGCAGCAACAGCTGGGCGGCTGCATGCGGCCTGTGCCAGTGCACTGGGGCCAGGGCCAGCAGGGACCCAGAGTGGGGTGGTAGAAGCATGGGGCCCAAGCCGGCAGGGGCTCTGGAGCTAGGCCAGCTAGCCCCTCTCCCTGCTGGCACAGCCTGGCCCAGCTCCAGAGCCCCTGCCTGCCTGTGCCCCGCACTCCCACAGCCCACTCTGGACCCTGCCAACGCTGCCCCACCTGTTGCTGAGCTCTGGCTCCCCACTCACTCCCACTCATCCCCCCATGTTGCAGCTATTTCCCTGCCACTGCCACCACTCCCCTCCACCCCCCACCGGTCACTCCAGCACCACATGGTTCCCAGCTGCAGTGTTGGGCTGCCGGACACAGCAGCATCTGACCCAGCCTCTGCAGTTCATAGCTGGCCCCATGTAGTGCTGGCCGGTCCAGTCCAGCTCTGAGTCCTGCTGTGTCCCATGGTCTTGGTCATGTAGTTGGGACATGGTGCCAGAGCGGCAAGCAGGGTAAGGACGGAGAAGCGGCAGAAGGGCAGCAGTGGCAGATAGAGAAGGAACTGTCTGTGAGCGGAAGCACAGGGTTACACCGGTGCCCCAGTGGCAGAAGCACAGAGCCCAGTCTTGAAGGAGTGCTGGTGGGGGGGGCTCTGCCTGCCACAGTGGGCTGTGGGCAAAACCTCCCCCTCCACACATGCCACAACCTTCCCCAGCCACCCTTCCCCTGCACACACAGCCCCCCACAAACCCTATATCCACCCCCCCACACACACCTATTCATTACCCCCACAAACCCCACACAGACGCCCACACTCCACAAACCTCTACCCACCCTCCCCCAATATACAAGGGTAAGTCTTCATTTTAAGTTATTGTGCAATCCCCTCTATGTACACTCAACAAACACATGTAAATCAAGACACAAATTTTTTTTTAAGCAAATTAATGAATGTTGTAATAAATGTTTGATTTTTAGAATATGATTTGGTATTTTTCTGGTTCGGAGATGACAAACCCTTGCTGAAAGGAGTACTTCTGGTGGGCCAAAGGGAGGGTGGAAAAGGTCAGGGGCTGGGACTTCCAGTCTCAAGATTGTGACCAGGGGACGGGGCACCTGTCAAGGGGCAGGGCTATCCATGCAGCCCTTGATGGTTTGCCAAAACTTGGTAAGAAGCCCTCTGGCCTGAAATAATTGCCCACCCCTGGTTTAAAGTGAAGGGAGCCTGAGAGAGTCCAAAGGAGGGCCACGTGCATGATTAGAGGTCTAGAGACCTGGTCATATGGGCAGAGGCTGAAAGACTTGGGACTGTTCAGTCTGGAGACTGAAAAGAAGACTCAGAGGGGACTCGGTGGCAGCCTATAAGTATATCAGGGGCGTACATCATGGCCTGGAGGAGCATCTATTCACTAAGGCCCCCCAGGGGAGGACAAGAAATAATGGGCACAAACTGACTGAAGATTGCTTCAGACTACACATAAGGAAAAACTTATTTACAAGTCGAATGCCAAGTGTTTGGAACAGGATGCCCCCAGAGGTGGTACAGTCACCCACCCTGGTGATCTTCAAAAAGTGTCTTGATGCCCATCTTTCTGGGGTCATCTGACCCCAGCAGTCTTTCCTGCCTATGTGCAGGGGGGCTGGACCCAATTATCTGTAAGGTCCCTTCCATCCCCTAACAACTATGAGAGGCTGACTGAATCACAAAAGGCTATAGAACGTGTGTCCTCAAGATCATCTAAAACAAGCCATATGCACCAAAAACACATGTCAATTTATGATTGAAAACTTGTATATGAATGTGCCTGGTGCTTTACAGAGGCAACAAGGACTTATCCCTTCCCAGAGGAGTTCACAATTTAGGATGGATATGACAGGTGTGACTGCAAGGAGAAATGATGGATGGTGGAAGCCACAGAATAAAGTTATGAGGAGGCTTGTTATGCATAGTCACCACCATCTAAGCTTTAAAAAAAGAAAAGGAAAGTTAACTTAGCCCATGACCTCATACATGGACTAGCAAGCTCCTTCTGATGAGGGAAATGGGAGAAATGAGAGTGGAAAGGGCCAGGCCTGCTTACAGGTCAGCGAGGGACCTGCATTTAACATGGACCCAAATGTGTTTATACGTATTGAGTTAGTCTCCACTGAACTGTAAAAGATGAAAGTTGCACACTCACTGCCAAGGTGACTCTCTAGGGCAACGTTGGAAGAGGCCTTCACAAATAAACAGAAATGAAATGCTACAGGAAAAATATTAAGAAAAACATCTTAAACACAACTCAACTTTTCTTTGCAAACAAAATGAGTAGAAGTTTCAATCCCCCCTATTCTCATTCTTCTGGCACAAGAACCCCAAATACAACACGACAACTCATCCATCCACTTCACAACAGAAAAAAAGAAGCACAGTTCATATCAGATGTGCTGCGTCAAGCCTGCAAAGGCTCATAAATCAGCTGTCTCATTGCCCTGGTCATTTCAAACCAATGTCTGACCCTCTCGTTAGCTTGTGATTTATAACTGGACGTTACTTTTTTTTGAATGCCAGATTTATAAACTTGACTGTGCTGGGTTTGATATAATATCCACTTTGTACACCTTGCAACACGACAGTAAATTTATTGTCTATGAACCTTGAAAAATTACATCAATGCAAAGAGGTTTCCATTCAGGATCACAGGCAATAAATTCATTGGATGTTTTTTTTTTGGTTTGGGGGAATGATGATATTTATGAGGTCATGAGCAGCTATATAATAGGTGAAACTGCACCAGTCAGACAAGAGTTCTGTACTATAGGGGTCGACAAAGACTAACTACTTAAAACAGCAACAATGCACAGGCTGGTATTCTGCTGGCTCATTATCATCAGCCTGTCCTGTCCTCTCTCATCTCTTCCCATCAGGGACTTCAGTGAGATGTCCTATCAGCTCTCGGGTAAGTTCCTTTTCTTTTTTGTGGTCAGTATTCTAGTAAGGGACAGAGGACCAGACAGATTTTTTTTTCTCACTCAGAAGGGGCTCTTTGTATCTGGGCTCCTCAACTGTGAAAAGCAGTACAGATTTCTTCATGATGCCATAGGCACAACGGGAACCAATACTGGGTATGTGTCCTCATGGAATTGAGACACTGGGTGCATGAACCACCCTTTGCTACAGCCTTCAGGCCCTGAGCACAAGCTGTCTGTACTTTGCCATGCTGAACGTGAGCTGGCACATACAGCTTCTGTCTCAAAAACACTGAGGAGATTTGGGATTCTCTATTGGAAGTTTCCTGCCAGAATGAGCAGCTCTCTGGCTGCACTTTAAAGATTGCTGCTTGTTACAGTCACTTTTAAAGTTAAATTATCTAGAAATCTAGTTGCCACAGCCATCACTCACAGAAACAATAATCAGGAGGGTACAAAAATCTGGCTTAAGACAGTAATGAGAATGGGTCTGGTAATCTCACGTTTATTGCCTCCTGGGTGTTTGCAAGCACTGTGGACCCTTTTTAGCTTAGTTAGGGAAAGCACTGCTGCTTGGAAATCCAAGACTTAGGAGAGCAGGAATACCACTGGTCAGGACACAGAGGCTTCAGGACAAGGGGATGGGGGTCCAGAACTAGAAGAGAGACATTGCCACAGTCAGAGGCAGAGCAGTACTGGCTGAGCAATTTCCTGGGGCTCAGGAATCACAGAACAGGGAGTGCTACAGAACAGCACCTAAGTGATCTCACAGAACTGCCTAGGCAGAGGGGACCACAATGACCTACTCTGGATCTTAAATGCTGCTGTTCTTCTGGGCTAGAGACAAACATTCAAAAAGTCTGAGCCTGAATTGATTCAATCTTTGCAGCTTAGTGTAAACTGGCTAGGCTGAACCAGTTTGCAATGAGACAGACATTCTCTCTGGATTGAGGAAATTCAGGAACATGCCTGCAGTGGCTCAGGCTAGAAGCTGGGAGGGGGTGGGTAGAGCAGCCCTCCCTTCCCTTCCATAGGGCTGAACTGAGGGGGGCGTGGCCAGGCCCTGGCAGGACTTCTGATTAGGTAGGTCTGCCTGTACCATCCAAGGCTTTTCCCCCCTGGCTACTCAAGGAGCAGGAGTGTTACCAGCCCCCTGCTAGCACTAAGGCAAGGTGGAAGTCTGCAGTGCATGCACCTGTTGATGATACAGAACTTTTCAATCTGCCTCTCTGCAGCAAACTGACAGGCAAGCAAGCCAGCACAGGCTGATAAAACAGTGTTTATCACCCCATCAGCAAAACAACAGTCTCTCTCCATTAGATCAAACTCTTCTTAGAGACACTTCTCAGCATTAGCTAGCATACCACATGCCTAGGGTCCGTGATGCTGGGGTCTGTACTGTGGGAGATGGGAGGGAGTGGAGGATCCCTGGTTGAGCAGCGAGGGGGTGGGGGTAGGGCAGGGGGAAGCCAGGCAGACCCTGCTGTGCCTGCAGTCTATACCGAGCTCCAGCCAGGGAGCAGAGAGGAGAGGCTAGTCTTGCTGTGGAGCGGAGAGCCCCGCTCAGCCCCGAGAGCATGCCGGGATGCTGGGGGAGTCCGGTACACTTCTCAAACCAACATTATCTGCCATCACTGCTATAAGGAGGTGAGGAATAAATATGTTATGTCTCCTCATACAACACAAGGAGGTAAAATCCTGCCTTATGTACAGATTAATTTCTTAAACTTTCCAATGTCATCTGCAACTATCCCTTCATATAATTAATGAGAAAAAAACAGCCTTCAGTTCTGTCAAGAAATTTCCTTTAAAACTTCATAAACAAAGTTTTCCAACAGCCAATGGAAATGAGGTGGGAAGTCTTCCAGTTGCCTGTAGTTTGCTTCTGGTACCCTTTCAAGAGCTTCAGGATTGGTTTCAGGATCACTCTCCTCTATCCCAGTGGTTCTCAAGTTTTTTTGTACCTGGACCCGTCTGTAAACATCGATGGCCAGTCTCAGCCCAGTGCTTCTCACTCCCAACCCCATTGCCCCCTACTCCCAGCCCCCCAGTATGTAGGACAGGAGGTGGGCGTGTGGGACATAGGGGGCCCCAAGCAGCCCCTAGCAGGCTGGAACTCTAACAGCCTGCAAGGGAGAAGCCATAGTTTCCATGTTTTTTTCCTTTAAAGGATAATCCATTTTTAAAGCTTGTTGATCCATTTTTAAAGTTTGTTCATGACCCTTTCATATATTCTTGTGACCCACTTGAGTTGTGACCTATGAGTTGAGAAATGCTGCTCTAGGGAAGGAGTGCCACCATGCGCCATCCCACTCAGATGCTGCTCACCAGGCCAGATATGGGGGGGCAGGGGCAGGTCGCAGCATCCAGCCGCTGGGTGTACACTGACCCAAAAAGTTTGAAAACCCCTGCTCTAGCCCGTCAGATTTTACTAATCAACCCAGATTCATTTCCCACTCTTCTGAATTTCTACTATTGTTTGCAAAGATGTAATTTGCTGCCCATCTTGACAAGATATGATTAGCTCATAAAGCATGCCATTTGCAGCAAGGCTTCTTCCTGGCAACTTGCCTGGAGAGATGAACCATTCCTCACCCAATTGTTTTAATTCTCTGTGTAAATAAAAATCAATCCCATCTGATCCCAGTGACCTATTATTTCAGAAAGATTAGTGACATCTGTCACAGTACATACTGAGAATGAGAGCTATAAGGAAAATGCACCATGAAGTCTAATTATAGGTATAATTTCCTATCTTTGCAAGATTTTATTGCATTTAATATTCATAAAATGGACCAGGTTAACCAGTCTTGGACCTGAACTTCTGTCTTAATACACAGATGCACACTATTGTGAGGATGGGACAAAATAAGTAGTTAAAGAAATGGATGCAGGGAATACATCCTCTACTAGGGTAAACTGAAGTTAATTCATTTTACATAGGCTACCACAAAGAAAACTAATGGAAAGTACATTTGGTTGCTAATGAATGTTGATGGATTCAGTCTAGAAACCTACAAGCTAGAACTTTCATATTCTATAATCACTTTCTGAGCCAACCTGCCACCTCTCCGCACATCTCCACAATTTATTTTTCTGATTGAAAGAGAAATGTTTAACATTTCATTCAAATATGGCAGGCATTTGTAGGAAAGTCTGACACACATGCATAGTACATACAATCACTTAGCTGGCTGATATAGAGATGATGTAATTCAGCAGATATAAGAACCCATGGTAGCCAACCAGTTAACTGGCTAGTCAGTGGCACATGACCCATAACAAAGCAGGGATGACACACCTGGGCTCTGACTGCTCCCTTTCATGTCTCTTTTTCAAAAGCAGAGGATGATAATTCAAAATTAACCCTGGAGCGACTAGATGCCTTGGGGAGAGCGTCCCTGCTGCAGACCCTGCAGGGGCTCCTGGATGCACAGAACGAGGATAGCAAAACAGGTAGGACTGACCTACCCTATTTACATGGACGCACCCCAGGCACTCAGGAATGCCCACAGCATGCAGGCTGCAGACAGGGGCCTCTGGGAGAAACTTGTTAGCAGTCATCAGGGATTGGCTACATTTTGCTGAGCAAAGCTTCAAAGTGCTCTGGTATCAAGGTCAGCTGCCAATCCCAGCAAAAGGTCCCCAGCCCCTTTGAATACCCTCCACTCACAGCAGAGAGAAATAATCTTTCCAGAGCATGGTGCCACCAATGATCACTATCTGCGGACCACTCAAACCTCCCCAGGCAGGGACATTTCAACTCAGGGAGGACTCACTGACTACCTAGAACAGGGGTAGACAATGTTTTTTGGCCAGAGTGCCGAAAAAAAACACAATGCCTACCTTGGAAGGTGCTAGAGTGCCAACATGCCAGAAAAACAAAACAAGGGCAGGGGGTACATGGCAGGATACCCTGCTTGTGCCCCTTACCCCCCACCCAAAGCCCCTGCCCC